AAATATGGCCTTTAATTATTTATGTTTGAGGAGCAGAAGAAATTTCTGCTGACAATGGAGATGTACTTTACCATCGAAGTACGCTGATATTTTCAGGCCAATGAGAATTGCTCACATTTTTATTGTTTTGACTGAACGAGTGTTTTGTGCTTTTAAATTTGGCGTCTGTATTTGTACTTGTCAACAGTTTGAACCTTAAACTTGTGAATTATTTTGCTGACAGTGGAGATGTACTTTACCATCGAAGTTATAAAATGCTCTGATATTTTCAGACCAATGAGAATTGCTCACTTTTTTATTGTTCGACTGAACGAGGGTTTTGCGCTTTTAAATTTGACGTCTGTATTTTTGGAAAAGAAAATGTCATTTACAAGAAAATTTTGTACTTGTCAACAGCTTGAACCTTAAACTTGTGAATAATTAACAGGGAAATTGTACTTTCAAACCTAGATTGAAGGTCATCACTCACACGATGATTTCATCTTACCCGTGACTATTTAGTCATCAATTGGGAATGGATTTTAATCCATTCCATGTAATTATATTTTAAATTAAAATTTAATTGTGATGGGTAGATAAATATTAAAATGTATAGGGAAATGGATATCAATAATGGATTTTTAACTTGGAAATTGTATTGAAAAATGTGAGTGAATGAAAACCAAAAAAATTGGAACCGGTCAGTGAATGAAATTGAGTAAAAATAAAATGATTCACAATGTTGTCTTAGTGATGCTTAATGGTGCAATTGGATATAAAACAACTTTTTTTTTTTAATTTTTATTTTTATTATATCTCTTTATGGAGATTGTGATTTATAACAAAATATTTTTAGAAAACTATGTTAGTCGTGCTATTTTTTAACTTTTTATGCCACGTTTTATTTTAATTATTATATTTTTATCTATATTCAATAAAATATATAAAATGTTTCATTCTCAATCATTTTTTTTTTCAACTTTTCTATCTCTAATGAAATAATTTCTTCTAAAAAATTTCTCTATCCAACGAGCCCTTAATATTGTCCAATCCCACTAGCTGNAGAAACATCATAATTGTTAAGTGATATTCCGTTTTGTAGGTATTCATCTGTTAAAAAATGTATGACCACTTGAACGTTATATTTGCCTAACAACAATTAGGAGTGAAAACGAGTTGAGTCAGGCTGAACCTTGGGTTATTAACAAAATAAGTCTGGTAAATGAGCTCAAACTCATCTCGTTTATAAATATTAACAAGCCGAGCTCAAGCAATATTACTGAGTTGAACTTGAGCGCATTAACGAACTGAAATGTAAAAATTATATAAAAATATCACATTTCGAACCTTAACGAGTCGAGCTTAACTAAATGAGTTTTAAATGAGTTCGAGATTGAACATGTGCCCAAAATAATAATTTATTGGTTGTATAATACTTTTAATAAATATAAACCTTCAACATAAAATGTTAATTTATTTAATGAATCGTTTTTTAAATAGAGTTTTGTACAACATAGTTGTGATGTAGACAATTACAATTTAGTAAGGAAAAATTGCATTTTACCCATCTGACTATACGTTTTCTAATTTTTTGCATTTTACTTATTCAACTCTTTTTTTATGACACTTTATCTGTATAATTTTGAAAAAATTGCACTTAATCAATTTTCAGTTACCTTGTCTCATTTGTAAAGGCACAATTGACGTGTCAAAAATTACAGTTTACTATCATAACTATATATGTTTTGCACTTTACCGACTCAAATTTTTATTTTGTGACACTTTTTTCATGTAACATTGCAAAAATTTACATTTAAGCAATTTACGGGTCACCGTGACGGTTTTTTTACCAAAAAAAAATAAATTTAAGGTAATTGGACAAAAAAAAAACAAAAAAAAAAGAGTGAAAAAAAATCAAAAACTCGTATTCAGTGAATACGTTTTCTTCACAAAATTAATTGAAACACGTATTTTCAAAATACGTTTTTCACTCTTTTTTTTTGTTTTTTTTCTGTCCACTTGTTCTTTTTTTGTTTTTTATATATAAATTCCCCTCACCGTGACCCATTTGTAAGGGCAAAAAAAATTACGTTAACTAGCTGTATAAAGTGTAATTTTTTTGGTAATAAAATGTCATAAAAAATAAACAATTTAATATATTTACCTTTGACAGGTCAAAATCATTTACGCCTCGCTATTCCAACTCCGAGCTGCTTAGTTGATTGGTGAGAGAGAGAAGAACGGCGATGATGATATCCAACGGAATCGAAGACGAGGACAAATGGCTTGCCGAGGGCATCGCCGGGATCCAGCACAATGCCTTCTACCTCCACCGTGCTCTGGTAAGTCTTCCGATCTCAATTCATCAGTTTCTGCACAAGGCATGAAAATCACGAAAATATAAAAAATAAGATGAATTCACTGACCTACGAGTTATCGCATTCTCGGAATGAAGCAGCTCAATCGAGATTCGCGTTTCCTTTTTTCNNTGGAAAGTTCAGGATTCGAATAATCTGCGGGAAGCGCTGAAATTCTCCGCGCAGTTGTTGTCCGAGCTTCGGACTTCGAGACTTTCGCCTCACAAATATTATGAGCTCTGTAATGTTCTTTTGGATCTTGAGTCGTCTTTTGTCTATGAGTTGTGAGTAAATTAATAATTATGTGAGATTTTGCATTGTTGTAATGTTTTTCTTTGGGTATCAGATATGCGTGCATTTGATGAATTGCGGCGGCTGGAGATGTTCTTCAAAGAGGAAGATCGGCACGGTTGTTCGGTGGTCGACCTATACGAGCTTGTTCAGCATGCTGGAAACATCTTGCCTAGATTGTATGTGTTTTTGGGATCTACCCATGAATTAAGCTACTTCATTTTCAGTATCTGTGTAGTAAGTTTTGATCATGCAAATCTTGTTATAAGAATTTCAATACCGTCTCTATATGAAGAAAGTAAGCACTCTGCCTTTTCAGTTACTATGTTAATATTCTATATGCATGTATGCACGTGAATGAGTCGAAATATGCATGATTAATATTATAGCTGGATATAAGCTTGTCAAACACCTTGGAGAAGGTCTAAAACTATCATTTAAAACCGTGTACTGGAGTCCCAAATCACAAGTAATTTTTCTGTCTATGATCCTCTTATTCGTAGAATCCACCAATTTAGGATGTGAAGTGGTTTGAGTGATAACATATCTTTAGGGGTATAAATTCTACTCATTTGAGGTATAGAAATGGAACTTTAACTGAATATAAGATCTTGTTGATTTCTTTTGCTCTGGGCTTGTTGTTAAATATTGTCTCTAGACTAGTTCCAACTCCACTGGACTATCGACTTCTGCTGGAGTTGATGTGCATTTTACTTTAACGGCAACTCAGTAGAAAACGGATTGTGTCTATATACACACATATCTCAATTTATTGAAATATGAGGCATGTTTGATGCATACTAGTTATGCTTGGTTGATTGTAGGTATCTTCTATGCACAGTTGGGTCTGTCTATATAAAGTCAAAGGAGGCTCCAGCGAAGGATGTTTTGAAAGATCTAGTAGAAATGTGTCGTGCTGTGCAACATCCCATCCGTGGACTGTTTTTAAGGAGTTATCTTGCTCAAGTTAGTAGAGACAAGTTGCCAGATATTGGTTCAGAATATGAAGGGTAAGTAAGACAATGACCTTCTCTATTTTATTTTGCTACACTGTTTGCCGTTTCAATTTGGTATATTATAAGATTTTGACTTTGTTTATCCTATACATCGGAGAAGCAATTGTATATATCAGGCATAAAGAAGTGCTTAACTATTTAAATATTGCTTCTCATCACTTACCAGCTTCAACCTTAGAGTTTTGCATTGCTCGTATTGACGTTATAAATGTTTTCTGTAATTCAGTTGCTCGTTATCAAGTTAGATAAATAGTTGATTTGTCTTTTCTTGTAGTGAAGGAGATACTGTCATGGATGCTGTAGAATTTGTGCTGCAGAATTTTACGGAGATGAATAAACTCTGGGTCCGGATGCAGCATCAGGTTCGTTAATATCTCTAAGAGTTCTTGTTGGTACATTTCTTTAAACATAATTGGCATCTGTAAACTTGCATTGCATGAAACTAAAGTAAAATAGATCATGAGGGCATGTTTTGGGCATGCAGGAGTGATAATGCTTATGATGCACATATTTGCTTGGCTGATCTGAGTTGAGGCCTTCTTTCCGGATTTCTGGTCTGCAGGGACCTCTTAGGGAGAGAGATAAACTTGAAAAGGAAAGGAATGAACTGCGTGATCTCGTAAGTCAATGCCTCCAAGCACTTATCTTAGCTTAAGTGTTTAGATTCAATGAGGATGTTACTAATCATCTCTATGTTTCAGGTAGGGAAAAATTTGCACGTCCTTAGTCAGATAGAGGGTGTTGACCTTGAAATATACAGAGACAATGTTCTTCCAGGAGTCCTGGAGCAGGTTTGCTCATCTGTTCTGCTGGAAAAATCTTAAAATGTGTGATCTGATGCTTGCTGTAATATTTGATATAAAATGGTCTTGACAGATTGTTAATTGTAAGGATGAGCTAGCACAATATTATTTGATGGACTGCATAATTCAAGTTTTTCCAGATGAATACCACTTACAAACCCTCGAGACTTTATTGGGTGCCTGCCCCCAACTTCAAGTGAGTAGTCAATCTTACAATATATATTATTGACTCTTCATCTGCACTCTTTCTTTCTGAATGTAATGATGTATGTTGTTAAGAGTTCATTTGTATGATGCGCGCGATTTATTCGATGTGGATTTCTGTATGGTGCTGTAGAAAGTCAATCCAACTTTACAAGAAACATTGTCCTAGCATGAGTTACCTTATGTTTCTCGAACCAATCTATGATGAATGTTGGGCTATCCAA